TTTAGGACTCGCAGTCCGGATTTCGTTTGAAACCCACCCACCCAACCCTTCCAAGCCCTAAGCTTGCTTAGGCCTACCGGACGGTCTTCCAAGCTTAGAGCCCTCCGGACAAGAACTGGGAGCGCGCTCTCAGCTTCATACCAGGCCCAGGCGGTCTGGCCCTGTTGGCGTCTCTGGACCCGCAGGTCCTTTGATGTGGGCGTGGGCACGCATGCCACGGGCATTTTAACGCAAGGACACGCTTGTCTTGCAACATTGTTTTCCACAAGGGGGGGGAACATCTCCCCTTGTCCTAGGTGCACCGCAGTGCCCTAGGAAAGTGCCACCTTCCCAAGCAACCCGGCAAAAAAGGTGTGCGCCTTGCTGTCGGCTTTTGGGTTGGAGCAGTGCGCGGGACCTTTAACGCTCAAAAAAGGCATGCTTTGATTTCGTGTGCCCAGTGCAGCAGCCTCAATGTTTGTGGGTGCGCTCACAAGTGCGTCGCTTGTGACAGTGAGCGTTTCTCCATTTTGGCAGTGAGTGCCGACGGTGAGGACGGTAAGAAGATTGGCAACGGAGTGCGGGCCGCCCACGCAGCTTTTTCCAGAGAAAACAGCACATCCTGGCAAGTCACTCCTTTTTACTTTCTCCACACAGTCCGTCGCAAGAACAGTTCGTTCTCCGACACACACTTCGTTGCGACATTCATGCAGTGGCCCCCCTCGGCTGCAACCTTGTGGGCACCCACTTGGAGTGTGCCAAATTTCGTTGTCGTGATAGTCGTAGTACTACCTGCGAAGCCGATGAGCAGAAAGCAGAAACTATAAGAATATAAGGACAAGATCAATGTTTTCTTGTGTCTGCATTTCTCTTCGTCCTTCCTCCCTCATTCCTTGTCAATGTTTTCTGTCTATCTGTTTTTGTTTCCGTTTTTATCGATTTTATTTCTTGGTTTGTTTCATCCTTCCTTCCTTCCTTCCTTCCTTCCTTTCTTACTTTGATTTTTCAGAACTTGAGCCAAACAAACCTGCGCAGCCTCGTTCACAGAACAAGCCTCCAAGTTAGACAAAGTCAAACCAAAACAAGATCCACGGGCTTCGCGCTGCAACGGTTGGAGCTCTCCATCCCGGCGCGCATCCTTGGTTGTCTCTTTTCTTTCTGCCTGATGAAGAACTTCTGAACCCTCAACCGCATGACAGCCAACCAATACGGTGCCCTCACGTATACAATTTGTGGGGTCATGCTGCCGAACCATTCGGGAACGACGGTTCGTGGCCGCTGCGCTCTTGTGACCCGGGCCGCCTTTCCTTTCTGCGACCTGTTCTTGGCCGTTGAGTTGCGTGAAGGCTGTGTATGCTCGCAGCTTGTTCCCTTTGTTGCTGACTGACGCAGTCTTTTAGATTTTAGACATGATGATGGCATCTTGTGTCGGAGACTCATCGTGGAACAGGTTCATTGCGCAGGTTTTTGATGAAGAACGCCGGTGTTTTGTGTTTGCAACATGTTCTTTTCCGCAGAAGAATCAGCGAGCACAAGCCTGTGAGATTTTCAGCTAGGAATTGCCCCAGTTGCTCAGGGCTTTTTGTGCTTAATTTTGTGGTTCATGCTGGCTTTGGGTTTCTACATTTTGAACTTACTTGGCTTCGGCTTGCGAATGTTATGTACATGTTGCAAATTCAAATGCTGCATCCTTTGAATATTCGAACGCCTCCACATCGCAAGTGGAGCTTTGGCTCCGTTGCTTCAATTTGCACAATAATGTGTAGACATGTTGTAGGCATGAGCACTTGCTTTCTTGCCCTAAAAGCAAATCGACATGAAATTACTATGATGTGTGCCTGCCACAAGTTTGTATATAATTATGCTTCAATATCCCATGTTGAGAATCCAATGACTGCTTCACGGCTTCACGGGCTTCATTTTGTTTAGAGCTGCTAGGGCACTTTATTGCAGCTTACCCGAAGCTTTTTGTACGTCGAAGCGGCTGCAACATGTGCAGTGAGAAAAACTCATCATCCACCGTCTGGTGCTGAACAATCAATGTTGTGAGGCACTGCTTTGACCATCAGCTGTTTCATGCGCCGGAAAGCACATTGTTTGCACAGTTTCCACGTACTTTTGTAAAATGGTTTGGATTGACATGAGAAACAACACAGCACCGAGAGTTTTTTAGTGCTGAGCCACGCTGCCATGGCATCATCGGAGCTGACTTTTCATCAGATCCGATATGTTGGAAAGGCTCGTCGACTTAGTCGGTTTTGTCATTGTTCCAAACTCTTTGGGCATCAGGATGCATGTTCAAGAAGGGTATGTTCGTGCCGAGTGGCATTGGGGATTTCCATGCGGGCATGGTCTCGCATTCAGAAGCTGGAGAGTTGTGTGGCCAAGCCACCGGTGTTTGCCCCAACCAATCCACCCGAATAGTTTTTTTGGCATGTCGACGCAGGTTGGAACCGGTGTATTCCGGATGGGCGAAAGCCAGTCAACCCAGCCGAGCTTGCGAGTGATACTTCTTTTTTGCAGATAGCTCCATTGGGGAGTCGGAGTCGTTTTTTTGGTGGTTTATGTGCAGTGGGAGGGCGTCACTTCAGACACACGATTCTGGCGGTAGCAAAGATTGGGACAATGACCAAAAACATGATGGTGGCTGCCTTGGGCTTGCATCCCGCGATCCGCAGATGTTGCAACCTGCAATCCTTTCATTTTTTTAAAATGTTTTCTTGTGGGTTTGATGGCCAGGCTGGGGTGGAAAGGAAATGCGTGTGCACCTCAGAAGTGTGCTGCAGGTGCGTTGCACAGACTTAACTTCATTTGCGTTGGGTGTAGTGCAGGTTGAGAAATGACTGTAGAAGGGTTATTGGAAGAATTCCCCACTTGCACAGAGTGTTGTCTGCAAGTGCTTCCAACCCAACAATGGCCAAGGTCGCAATTTCCTCGACCTTTCCAATGGGCACGCATCCAAGCATGTTGGCTGCCATTGTCAGAGGGCGAGGGAGGAGAGCCTCTCCGAATATCGGCCTCAAAATGCACAACGGGCATGCAAGGCTTTCTGACAAAGCTACAAGAAAGTTCCGCAATAACCTCTGGAATGACCCGGGTCCAATATGGTGTGACTTTCTGGCAAAATCATTGGTAGTCACAATTGCTTTGAGGTTGAACAACCCCAATTTCTGTCACAATGAGGAGGACACGCACCCCAATTGTCGCATGTCCTCTTGGGGAAGCATTGTTTTATTGTCCCAAGGCTTCGATGTCAAAGCCGACACAACTGGTTGGTTCTCAAAAGCGAATGAGACCCCTATGAACCCCTTGTGCAGTGGTTTCTCCATGGTATCCCTAGGTTCATTCTCAAATGCCTTCTTATGCCCTACTGAGAACCCAAAGGAACCCTAAGTCTCGAGGGCCCCCCCCTTCCAGAAGCCCAAAGTCCAACCTATAGGAATGCCCACAAAACCCCAGCTATTCAGCTAAGGCAGGTAGCGAGCTCAAGGCGGCCGAGTGGCATCCCCATTGTGGGGGTGGCCGCGAGCTCAGGATGGCAGTCAGACGCCATTTTGTGACCTTGGCCCGTGCGGTCCCTTTGGATCAAAGTTTCATGTGCGTCAGAACCCCCGACACGTCCTGCATTTGGGGATGTGACGTAGAGAGGGCAAGCCAGAGTGCTTTGGTGTGATTCCTTGCTCGAGCCAAGCATGTTTTCCGCACACTCTGACAACTAAGTGCTTGGCGATTTGATGGGGCAGCAGGTCCCAAAGTTCGATTTTTAAATTCCTGCAATTGCAGAGACCTGGGTCCCTGCATGCATGTTGCTTTCTGTGATTCTTGCGAGGAACTTATCGTCGGTGGGTTCAAGGTGCTACCTAGCAACGTTGGATCAGTTAATGACTTTCCGTGATTCTTGCGAGGAACTTATAGTCGGTGGGTTCAAGGTGCTACCTAGCAACGTTGGATCAGTTGATGATTGAAGATTCAGCTTGTAAAGGGGGAGGTCAAACTGGTGTTGGGCTACTCTGCTGAGAGCACGATTGTGTGCATAAACTGCCCCTGCTTTTGTCGTTCCCCTTTAGCTTCTCCTGAATGAATATTGGCGCCAAGTGCATGAGCAGGTCTTGGCAGCATACCGCTCCGATCTGTAAAAAGAGTCCCAACCGCAATCACTTGTTTCCAGGCCGAATGCTGTGAAAGCTAATGATGGATGGCGAGCCATCATAACTTGACACAGACACCGAGTCCTCATCATGAATACTTCAAGAAGGCAGCTCAATAGACAATTGCTAGAGATACCTTCTTGTCATTCATTCGCCCTTTGATTTGTTCGACACATCTTTTGCAAGGAGAACATTGCCAGTTGTCAACTATTGACTGATGCCTTAGGTCGAGCTCTCTTAAAGCTGGTCTTCCAGGGCAAGCCTGCAAGCGTGCGCGGCCCATGTGTTTTGTGCATGGCTTTGCGACGTGTGAAGAAGCAGTCCGCGCATGAGTGCTGCGTTTCCAGTCAGTATGCTTGGCACCCTGCTGGGTTTTAGTGTCTTGCTTGGCCGGTTGGAAGTGCAGTAGAACTCATGCAAGGAAATCGTGCGATTAGCTGACTTTCAGAAGGGCGACCTATCCCAGATCAAGGACGTTATGCGGCATAAAAGGGCTGGATGCCTTTCCGATTTGCTTTTTTTTTGGTTGACATTGACAAGGGTTCTTTTGTGTTTAGTTGGATTTGGCTGGTTTTGCAGGAGCATCTTCAATCCAGATGCAAGGTGACATTGGAAGAGCATCTTCCTTGCACGAAAGGCAGGAGGAGTGATTCTACGTGCTTCGAAAGTGTCTGGTTAGCACACCGAAAGGGGCGGATATTCAATTCGAGATTGGATGTTGGTTTGCTTTGGGATTTGTTCGGAATTTTCTTGCAACAGACTTGCACACACCCACAAACTCTGAGCCTCTTCCCTTGAGGTTGATTCTACGAAAAGTCTGCCTTATGAATATGAATGTGTGTTTTTAGGGTGCCCTTTTGAGGGGGTTGAAATGGAAGTTAAAAGGATATCTACGCATTCTTGGCACGCATATGAGCTTGGCACAGGTTGGTCGTGGGGAGAGCTGCAGCGGGAGCCGCAGATGTTTTTTGCAGTGTTGCTTCGGCCTTCAGCGCGGCTTAGGTTGAAAGAGGAGCACTCACTTTGTCTTTCAGCTGGCGAGTCAGCCTGGCACGGAGAGTGAAGTATCCTCCAAACGTGGAAGAGGACAAGGGGCCATTGTACCAGGATGGTAGTCTTCTACACCTTTGTCCGCTTCCATGATTGTTGGAAGGAGGTTGCATGCAAACGGGCTTTCATCCCGAACTATCCAGTTTGAAAGACGCGGGGAGGTGTGGCCACTTCTACATCCCGCTTGATGCAAAGCACCTGTGCTGAGTCAATGTTTCATGACCGCACGGAAACCCGGCTCAAGTTCCATTCTTGTGCCCCTAAGAGGAAATGACCATATGAGAGTTACGAGAGTCGGTCTGTTAGAAGAGGACTAAGTTTGTGGTTTTGATTTCCAATGCCGATGTGCCAGAAATGTCATCATGGAGATTGACGTCCCAGAGCTCGGCCAGGTCGGCATGTCGGAGCGAGCAAGCGGGTGTCGGTCAGTCTCAAAATGCAGGCTCCCTTGGCCCCCTTTTGGGATGGTAAAGGGAAACAAGCACCTGGGCCCCGGATGTTGAACTTTTTGCGGTGAAACCGAAAAGGACACTGGGAAGCTGCCCATTTCGGGAGGTGCCTGAAGTGCGCCACCGGGGGTCCTTGGTCAGAGTGAGCGGGGTTGATTGCAGGTCAGCTGCACGGGCAAGAATGAGTTGAATCTCGAGCTGCTTCGGCGTGATTGGGGGGCAAAGAGACTAGAGGCATCATTGAAGGAAGCCCGTGGAGGAATCAGGCTTGACTGCCGGAGCCTCTCTAGCTTGGGCTGGGTAAGTTGATCTGGTTTTCCCTTTCTGACAAAGTATTGGCACAGCTAGTCTATCTTTGATATGTAGCGCATTATGTGAAGGCCCGGCCACTTGAACTCAGATTTTGGAAAGGACATTCCACAGAAGATGGCCAAAACAACAGACTTGGGCAAGCTTTGAAATCCCCGGAATGGGTTTCTTAGGGCTTCAAGTCCCAGACGGAGAGAGAGAGAGAGAGAGAGTGAGAGACTCTGCCTTCCGCGCGATGCTTCGCGGATGCCGTGGTTTTTGCGGCAAAATGAAGTGAAACCGAGCCGCATCGTGGTTTTTGCCTTGGCGAAGTGAAACCGAGCACCTGTAAGCAGGCTTTGCTAAAATTTGCAGGCGCCTTGCCCAGGTGCTGCAGGGGGTTCGTCTGTTTGTCCCTGCCGGAACACTAGGCGGGATGCGCTTTTTGTGGTCGAGACGGGCACGTTGTCCTCGGCAGGTGAAGGAGTGGGAACCTCGGCGGAGCAGTGGAAGGAAGACCTGCTGAGGCGGGGGGGGGGTTTTGGGACTGAGCGCCTTCCCGGCACGGCAGGCTGTCCCACGTTGATGCGACTGGCGCGATGCTGGGGCATTTTAAGGACACGACCTCAGCCTGGACAGCCATTCGCAGATTCATTCATGTGAGAGACCTTCCTTTAGGCGGTTGGATATCACAGTCGCCACAGTTCATGCCCTCGTCTGCAATGAGGACATCAGCATTGTAGCTCCACGAGGCAACCATGCTGCGGCCTCGGACAGCGAGGTTGTTCTTTCTGCATTTGTATATATCATTCGACTATTCAAAAAGTGTGCCTTTCCGATTTTTCGGTTTTTGAAAGACGGCCGGTTCGAGCCTTCAGAAGTTCCTCGGGTTGCTCTCCGTGGGTTGGCAACTTGAGGACCTTCAGTTCTTCCCAAGTGGGCTCCAGGCGCAACCGGCGGAGCCCAGTTCGCCACAAGGGCTCAGGAAGTTTTTGGGTCGGCAGAGCCCGTTTTTGGGCAGTG